AGTAAAGGACCTCAGACTCAAATTCAATCAAAAGGGATTTTTATTAAGCCAAGACAAAGAAAATCATTCAAATGAGGGAACCGTCAGTGCGCACTAGGCACAAAGACTAATGGATCCACTGAATCACAGCCACGGAGTCTCTAATATACAATTACAGAAGGAAGTAAAGTTAAGAAAAATTCTGATTGGTTACTCGTTGATACATCGTTGTCAAAGTGGGATAACGAAAGTGGGATCTTTATAATGATTGGCTTAAAGAGTTTTTGTTGATATGTTACCACTTGTTGATATGTGCTTTGTTGATTAGTTACTGCTTAGTGCCTATAGGGGGTTTACAGGAGGGGGGTTTCATAAGACAGCTGCCAGACTTCATTTCTGGAAATGTGGAGGTTACATAAAGGCTCCATGGGAGTAAATTGACAACATTCATTCTTGACTTGGTTACAAAGAAAACATTTCTTTAGCTATCAAATAACAGGCAGCACTGCCCTTACGCTTTATAAGTATTGATCAGCTCAGTTTTCTGGTTCCACAGGCTTTCTACACAAAATTGATTCCAGGCCTAGACCCTGTCTTAGCCTCCCTTACCCTGGCCAAGAACCTCATTTGTTTTTAGAGTCTCCATATCATTCTCTTCTTTTTATTAAGGATTTCAATCGAACATTCTTTGATCACTTCACCACCATTTTTCTGTATGGACTTATGTTATCTTCAGCATAGACTCTGTTTCCTAGATGGTGGCCTATTTGTTTAGAGGTCTTTAAACTCACATATATATATGTATTTCAACCAGATACCATTTGAGTCTTTACTATGCACCATTGAAGTCATCGTCACCACACTATACATTATTCAACAATTGAGGGTATTTATTCAGATGCTTAGACCAAATTGGAGGAATAACTTGACCCTTTCATTGGAAACTAATGCAGGGTGCAGGACCCATCCACTGTATTACAGAAATGAATGGAATCAATTACATGAGCTGCTTCGAAGGTAAAAAGTTGCCCAAATTGGACACACTTTTCATAATACATTTGACAATTCCAATTAGTATCAGAATAACTAGTCCAGTTTGCAATAACATTCTCAGCCATGACCCTAGTCTTTGTGGTAACCAGCTGAAAAAATCAGAAAAGTAAGGTACTGCCATGGGAGGAATGGAGTGAAGCCAAACCACTTGTTGATGTATTTTTTGAATGACTTCCTCCACTTTTCCAGTCGTATTAATCCAAGAGCAACAGGAGGTGTTTACTATAACACATATGCCTCCTTGTTGAGATGACAAGATGTTTAGGGTTATTCTGTTATCCAAAACTTCCTTGGCTAGAGAAGCTACAGACTTTTGTTGGGCCATCATTCCATCAGCAACATCATTAGTAATCTGTGCCATAGTGGCAGATAAATTTCTAAGAGACCTTTCTAGTTCTACTATACCATAGGTTGGAATAAGTGCCCTTAAAAAGGACCATCGCCATCCTGGTTGTTCACCAATAGGATTATCCTCCTCATAAGTATCTCTCTTTCACATAGTTAATATTTTAATATCACTTTATGCTGTCATTATGAGTATAAATATCAAGTGGAACTCCCAAAGATCCTAGAGTACACTGCCCCCTCATTTCTCCAACCATCTACACAAGGAATAGCTCAGGCATAAGGACTATCATGTGGGAGTGGACGAGAGAGAGAGGACTGTAATTTGATCCTCTGCAGAGACACATATACCTGTAGGGTACACAGATTACTTTTTTGGTCTGCAGTTAAGAAATGGAGACGTTTACACATGTGAGCCACGTCTCAACAATACCCTTGTTGCAAATAGGTAATCTCCCAAAACTTAACCCCAACTTAGTGTCATTCTGTAGACAGGGATTGTCATACATGGGAACACCAAAATCATCATATCTAGGGTAAGCAGTTTCCAATCCTCTTAAACATGCCTTATAACATGAAATGTAATCTCAGGGAGTTTTCATATATTGTCTCAAAAAGCCCTCTCCCTTACATGGGACTTCTGGATTGACCTCTTTTGCTCCCTTACAATCATATGAATATGGTTCTAAATTCAGTCAGATTAAAGCACGGTATACGAGGATGCACAGATAGTTCAGGGAGATGCCAAAGTTTAACTTTAATGGCTCTTCTGAATACTGAACTAGAGTTAATAACTGGCAGAAAGATAACATGATAGTTCAGTACAGGAGAAGCTCGTGGGTCAGAATTTTCTAGTATTGTTAGATGCGTCCTTGTATAATGAGTTAAGGCTTTGCAGTATTTTAACAAGTTAGTTTGCATTAGATTGAAGTCAGTTATGGCCAACCAATAGGGTAAGCTCATTGGATGGCCTATCATGATTTCATAAGGAGTTAGTTTGTGTGGTCCAAAAGGAGTTGCTTTAAATTCATTAATACCAATGGAGGAGCTTGAGGCCATGTCGATTCTAAAGAGAATGTAAGCTTGGCAAATTGATTTTTGATGATGCCATTCGTGTGTTCCACAAGTCCAGAGGATTGAGGGTGATAATGAACAATGTAGTCTTTGAAATATAGGAAAAATTCTGCAAAAAGCAGTGATTACTTGTTCCATAAAATGAGCACCCCTATCACTGCAAAGAATGGCAGAAGGTCCCCAAATATGCATAATATTCTCTAACAATTTCTTAGCTACAAAAGCAGATGTGGCTTGATGGCAAGGGAAAGCTTCTACCTAATGGGAGTATCTGCAAATCATGAATAAAAAAAATTTATAACCATGGGAAGGTGTTAGTTGTATAAAATCCATCTGCCATTCAGATAAGCCCCATGGGAAAAGGATATTTTCCTGGTGAAGGCTGTTAAGTTCTACCTGGATTGTACTCTGAGCAAATGGCACATTGCCGCACCACTTGATCTGCTGCTTTCCAAAAATGACCCAAGTAATATTTTTGTAAAACGTCTACTGTTCTATCTCTTCCTAAGTGATCCTTTCTATGAAAGGTAGTTACTAGAAGAATGTGTACGTCCTTAGGCATCACTGGCTTACTGTTTGATCCTTGCCAAAAGAAAGTGTCATCATTATGTGTACAGCCTCCCCTAATCCAATTATCTTGTTCAGATGGTGGAGCTGCATTCTGATGGATCCATAGGTTATGCCTTTTGGCAGTGTTGACAGTGGGATCCTCAATTAATAATTCAGGGAAACTGTAGAATTTTCCCCACAAAGATAACATCTTGTGTTTAGCAAATTCCCAGGTTTTCATGAGTAGGAAGGGCTGTAATGATCTAAACCTGAAGCATTCATCATCATATAAGATCTATCTCTATCCCTAGCTCTAAGATGACAACTTCTGTGATTATGAGTAAAAAGATGGCCAGCAGCAGCAAGGAATTTTCCCCAAAAGTGTTCTAGAAAATAAACCAAGCCTTCACCAGATTTGTCAATAATTCCTTTAAACGAGACTGGAGTAAAGGGACATGTAGCCCTAGAGGTAGTATGGTTCCATCTGTCAGTCCTACACAAAAGTGAGTAATAGGGTCCTAATAACATTCGCAATATACCCAATCAGTTAATCCTTCTTTAGTAGCTAGATTTTGATACCATCTCAAAATAGAGAACAAATCAGAAAAGCAGGAGAAGTTCAATAAGTTAGGACTTGGGTGGACTAGGTCCAACTTTATGTGACGTAAACTTTTGGGTACTGCGGTAGCAAGTTTGGCCTTAACGTTTCCTTGCTCTGGCCACTCCTTTTCATAATTCTTTCAGAGTGACATCTATCTTCTGGGTGGGGCTCCCAGGCAGTGGCATGTTTTGTTGCAGCATTGGCTAAGAGATTTTCTTTTATTTCCTCAGTTAAGGGCTGCCTCTTTGGCTGATGGGCCTGTATCTTAACTACAGCAATCACTGAGGGTAGCAAGAGAGTCTCCAGGAGGTCAGCAACTAATGATGCATTCTTAATTTGAGTTGAGAAGAAGCAAGGAACCCCCTCTGCTTCCATAGCAACCTGAAATCACGAACTACCCCAAAACCATACCTCAAATCCATATATATGGTTACTAACTCTCCAGAAGCCAGCTTGCAAGTCCTGGTGAGTGCAATCAACTCAGCCTCTTGGGCTGAGGTAACCTCTGAAAGGATGCCACTTACCAATACCTTGGTGGATGTGGTTACAGTGTATCTGCCCTGGAAATGAGAACGGCAGGAATCTGGTTTTAAATAAGAACCATACACAAAAAGGACCATTGACTGGTTAGAGAGAGGGATTTCCTGTAGGTCTTATCCTGGAGTCAACAATTGGTCAGTCAAGTCAAGACAAACATGAGGAACTATTCTGTCTTCCTGAGGAAGTGACAATAGGGTAGCAGGGTTCAAAGAATTCACTGTGTGTAATCTAATATTTGTGGCTGCCAGTAAAAGCATTTCATAGGAGGTTAATTGAATGGCAGAAATGTTGAATTAAAGTAGAATTTAATATTGCAGAAACTGAATGAGGGACACAAAAATCAAGAAAATTTCCCAAGACTATATCTGAAGTGGCTTCTACAAGTCTAGTGGTGGCTGCAGTGGCCCAAAGGCAGGGTGGCTGTCCACAGACTATGGGATCTAGCTGGAGGCTATAATATCCAACAGGGCACTGGTGTCCCCCATGGCTTTGGGTGAGGACTCCCAATGCATTACCAGCTGTCTCAATAACATACAGGGAAAAGTACAACTTATAATTAAGAAAACCCAAGGCAGGAGTAGTCAATAAAACTTCTTTTAATTTTTTATAGCTTATAACTCATCTTCAGACAGCTGGAAAGGATCAAGGGTTGAGCCCTTTAAATAATGACAGAGGCTGTGCCATTAAGGAAAAATTTGAGATCCAAGTCTGACAATAACCACCAAAAAAAAAAAAAAACTCGTTGCTGTCGAGTCGATTCCAACTCATAGCAACTCTATAGGACAGAATAGAACTGCCCCATAGAGTTTCCAAGGAGCTCCTGGTGGATTCAAACTGTCTACCTTTTGGTTAGCAGCTGTAGCACTTAACCACTATGCCACCAGGATTTCCAACAATAACCACAGAGACCCAAAAATCTTCTAAGCTGTTTTTTTGTAGTTGTGGGTGAGAGAGTTAGAATAGCTTCTTTTCTTTTAGAGCCTATTGATATTCCTTCAGCTGAAATTACATGACTCAGATATTTTACTGAAGGTAAAGCAAACTGTATGTTTTCCTTTGAGGCTTTGTGCTGTCTAGTGGCTAGATAGTGTAATAATAAAATGCTATCTTGAACACAAGCCTCCCGAGAGTTGGAGCACACCAGCAAGTCATCTACATACTGCAGCACAAGAAAATCTTGGTAAAACTTTAAAGGCATTAAATCAGAATGTAACATTTGGGAGAAATATGTGGGACTTTCAGTAAATCCCTGAGGCATCACAGTCCATGTGATTTGTTGCTCTTTTCATGTTAAAGTAAATAAATATTGACTATCACAATGCATTAGTATTCTTTGTATTGTGCACTACACAAATCTACTACTGTAAAAATGGGTAGCCTTGAAAGGTATCTATGATAAAAGCAGGTGGGGATTTGGAGTTTCTGGGTGGTGCAAATGGTTAAGCACTCGACTATTAACTGGAAGGTTGGCAGTTCGACTGTACCTAGAGGCATCTTGGAAGAAAAGCCTGGTGAATTGCTCCCAAAAGCCACAGCCTTGCAAGCTCTATGGAGTGCAGTTTTACTGCAACACATGGGGTTGCCATGAGTCGGAATTGACTTGAGAGCAACTAGTTTGGTTTTTTTGTTCTCTGTTTAAGCCACCATTAGTTGGTTTTGCAAATTCTTGCAACTGAACAGTTTCCTAACTGATATCGTTCTATAATAAAGAGAAAAATTTATATTAAAATTAGTGTATCTGAAATCAGAGAAGGAAGAAAATCAAGATTTGCTAAGAAATATGCTTTTTTAATCTAGTCAGCAATCCAAATTGGCTGAGAATCCAGCAATCTAAAGGTATACAAGGAAGGTTGTAGTGGGTTGAATCATATCCTCCCAAAATTCATGTCCACCTAAGAATGTGACCTTACTGGAAATAGGGACTTTGCAGATGTAATTAAGGTGAGGATTGAGATGGAATCATACTCGTGATGGTTAAGGTTGTGTATCAACTAGGCTGGGCCATGATTCTCAGTGATTTGGCAGTTGTATAATGTTGTGATCGCTTCCATGATGAGATTTGATATAACGTGATCACCTCCATGATGGGATCTGCTGTGAGTAGCCCACCAGTTGAAAGGGAGTTTCCTTGAGCTTGTGGGCTGCATTGAATATAAGAGGATATTCTGGCAAGACTTGTGGGGTTTTGCTCGTTCTGGATCCTACAGCTGGATCCTGTTTGTCTCATTCCATGTGGTTTGGGTGGTATTAACACTACCTCTGCCTCCAAATATAGACATTTGACTTAGGCATGGCCAATCAGAAGACTGCATCTTCCTGTGAAAGTGATGGTTCAGAGATGGGCACATGCCCTAATCAAAGTCTATGAGAAGCAAAGTTAGATCTTTTAAAGACAGGCATTCACTATTGTTTATGTTGCACTTGGAGTTGTGTGGATTTAAGTTTGGAGCTTTGAGCCACCCTCTTACCACCAGGAGAGAGGGGATGTCTGAGGATGAAGGCAAGACATAACGAAGCAAAGGTGATAAACAGAAAACTTATGATATTGTTGAGCTGCTGGATTCTGCATGCCTAAACACAGAACTATGTCCTAGGATTTTTAGTTATGTTAATCAGTTAATTCCTTTCTTTAAGCATATTTGAGATGTGTTTTCTTTCTTTCCTTCTTTCTCTTCCTACTTCCCTCCCTTTTGCTAATAGAACCCTATAAGAGGCTTCTACATATTTACGCAGATCCTTCTCTATATCATTCTTTTTTTTCCCCTAACTTCCCTCCCTCCTTTTTGCTGAAAGAACTCTAAGAAGCATCTATGTTGTTGTTAGCCGTTGTTGAACCATCCCCTGACTCATAGTGACCCCATGCAGAATGGAACAAAATAATGCCTGCTCCTGTGCCATCCCCACAATCAGGTGCAGATTAGACCATTGTAATCATAGGGTTTTCATTGGCTCATTTCTGGATATAGATTGCCAGCCCTTCCTTTCTAGTTTTAGTCTGGAAGTGCTACTCAAAACCTGTTCAGCATCATAGCAACATGCAAGCCTCCACTGACAGATGGGTGGTGGCTGCGATGAAGTATATTGGCCGAGAATTGAACCCTTGCCTCCCACATGAAAGGCGAGAATTCTACCACTAAATGTATTTATGCAAATCTTGGAAGTAAAGATGACTTAAATTTATAAAAAAGAAACCTTGAAATGCTGTTTATTTAAAAAAAAAAAAAACAAGAACCTTCTTATAATATTGCTGCATACAGGTCAGGGCACAATAGCATTCAATTTTAAAGATATAGTGCTTTAGTAATGCAATTGTTGTCACTGAAGTTGATACCAGGGTATTGTACCTTGTCTATTATAGGAACTTGGGAAGTATATTTACAACTTACAAAAGTTTATTAAAATATACCCAACTTTGTGCACTACTCAAAGTATTGTTTCTTTTCTCCCTAGTAGAAATATATTTCTTAATGAAATTCTATGATTTCACAGGAAAATGACAATTTAATATCACATTCCAGCTTTTCATTGTCAGGGCTTGATTTGTATTTAGTCAGCAGGCTCCTACCTTTACATTGTCTTTCTATTTGTCTGCGGTCTTTATGATGAAATCTTGTTTTCTTGTGAATTAATTTTAAAAGAGATGGCTGCTTTGTTAAATAAAATTAACTGACAATCTGGAAACTTTCAAAAGTGTGAGCGACCTGTGATTTTTTTATTTTAAAAATGATGCTCTTAGTAAATCTGCCACTTAATTTTGGGAAAAAAAGAGTTGCAGAGCTGCAAAAGAATGTAGAAATAATTAAGCCCTAAACTCTCATTTTCGGATGTGGAAACACAGGTACAGAGACAAAAAATGGAAATAGTGGGTAAAAAATTTAAGAACTTGAACTACCTTTGGCAACCAAAGAGCAGGAAAAGGCTGAGCTGTTTTCTCTCTTTTGCATTCACTTGTACTCTCTCAGATCTGCTTTCATGTGTACATACTGGGATTCATAGACTACTTGAGAATTACACGTCTCTTTCCTAATTTTTATGTATTTTATTTATTCTTTATTGATGTTAGTTTCATTTGTTTATTATCCAACCCTCCAGACTCATTGGACAAGGACTATATAAAATGTCAATTTGATTATTGCTCTACTAATAACATTAATAAAAAAGATAATGTCACACTTTTTTTGGCAGAGGAGAAGGGAACAGTGGAATACTAGCAACATATTTAGACATTGGAGTTGGAGAATTTGGTTAGAATGGTTCCCCTTGCTTCCAACAAAGGCCCGTCTTTCTCTCAACCTCCTTGATTCCAAGAAGAACTGTGTAACTATGTTCAGTCAGGCTGTGTTTATGTGGCCCTGCATTCACTCAGCCTGGTCTCAGCTACGCAAAATGCCCACAGTGCCTCATAATTAGGCAGTGTTTCCCCAGTGTTTAGTAGGTGCTGTGCATATAGGATCTTAATACAAACTTTTTAAGTGAACTGAAGAACACTAAAATGAAAAAAGTCAGCATTTCACTGATATTAGAAGGTTCCCAGAGAATAAGTTTGCTATAAAGTATCCATTAATATTAGTAGTTCTCAGAACTTTCTGTGATGTAGCAACAATATTATTGGTAACTGAAGGTGTGATTTCATATAAGAGAACCACTCCTGAGTTTTTTTTTTTTTAACTATTTTTTTAACACATGGAATTACACACAATACAAAATACTTGTTTTACAAGTTGAAATCTTTATAGTCATGGGTACAGTTACAGTAATGCAAGTAATATTAGTGCATTCACTTAGAGCAGTTATTTATCTTCACTGGGCTTAAAATGAAGCCAAGGATGAATTATTTGCTTTAATTGCTTTCTAGTCTTTGAATTTTAAAAAGAAAAAGAAAAATTACTTATGTCTCCTGTATAATATGTCAGGATGATAAACAATGCCAACAATTAAGTAGTCTGGTATCTCTATAAGTGGGAGATTGTATTCCAATAGCTCTTAACTTGTAAATCCTAAGGCTTTGGCTAAATATGTCTATCAAATTGTCATTATCTCAGCTTTCAGGAAAATTACATCATTTTGGTAATAGGCTGCCAACAAACAGAAACTATAGACTACACCATTTTTCCAAAGAATCCTGTATTTTAATGAATAGCTGAATAAATAGACATTAATTACGAAATTCACATTAAGATAGAAGAAATTCCAAACATTCTGATTGCTTTATCTCTCTTAAATTTGATAGCTACTACAAAACATACTATTTATGTTAGGATAAAAAATAAGCTGAATCACAAGAGTGTAACTGGGAAGTGCTGGCAGATATATACAGTAACATGGAGGAGCCATAAAATAAAGGTGCTCATATATACATCACTTTTTCTTTCTTTTTGCATGGAGAAACACTGTTTTATAAAATGGAAAAACACACAGTAGACCACATGCAACAAGGACCAATACAATGTGCACAGCAGAATAATCAAACAAGACACAAGAACTATATGGGTTTAAAAAAGAATTTGAGAGCAAAAAAGAAAAGAAAGGGTTGAAACCTGGAATGCTTTCTTATTGAGGTTTCAGAATATAAATTTGTCTAATAAGCCTCTTGATAGTTTTCAAAAGTTCCCACTTGGCCACCTGTGGTTTAAGTGTAGAGCTAAAAATAAACCATCATATTATACAAAACTTTGTATATTAGCATACAAAAGGTAACAATTTACTTTTTGTATAAAATATAACCTTTTGATAGTATATTTATTTCACATATGTATAAATATAACCCAAAGAATATGTTTTAAGTATTTCTACCAAAATATTCTTTACAAAAGTTTACAAAACAAGTAATTTATTTATATTTACAACCTAGCACAGAAAATTTTCCGAGCCAGTGATGTTGGTATTGTGTAAAAGAAGGAGAGTACTTCCAGACATTTTAAAGATTGGAAGAGGGCTTGCAGAACTTTCAAAATGTGTTCTTATTTGAACAGATATTTAAAAACTTTTTTATTAAATGGCTTCATTTAAATTACATTTGACGTTTGACTATGTGAGCATATGATTCAAAAGGCTGAAGATAACCTTGCGCTCTATACTTAGGAAAATGATGGTGATATTTTGCATCTATCTCAAATCAGGACATGTGTTACCCATTTTACAGCTGATCTGTATGTGGGCATTGAGGTTAAATGACTCAACAAAGCTCTCTTCTTTCATTGATTTCTCCTGAGGGAGAAAACCTGGAGGTGAAGGGTCCATCTATCATGGGGCAATGATTCATCACATCAGGGACAGAAGGCTGAATAGACTGTTACTTACAGACCACATTCTGTTTAACCATTTACCCAAATATATGTCCAAAGAAAGACAGCTTATTTTCCCTTTCAATTATGCTTTCCTCCAAACCCTATAAAAGAGATTTGTTCTCACACCTGCCACTGGTCCTGGCCTTTTGCTTGTTATCTCCAATCTCAGTTGTGGTCTCTAAACTTCATTTCTTCAAAATCAGGCTCTGCTCATCCAAATAAGTAGGAAGGACAAAAAGGCCCAATTGCAATCACCAGCAGGCATCATAACAACAAGTGACATCCCAGGTTATTTGTATGAGCTGAATAAATCTCCTTTATAGCAATGCCCAATGGAGTATGTCTCAAAAAACAATAGTGAAATTTGATGCCTACAGGTGTCCACCAATATTTTTGTATGATTAGGACAGGTCTTGGCTATATCTAAAACTTGGGAACGGACTCAGAAATTGGTTGTGGAAGCCCAAATAAAGTTGCACAGCAGTATATTCTTGTTTTATCACTAGACATAGCATTCCTCTGAAGTATGGGATATATGAGAAAACTGGAAGAGTAAGGAATGGACCTAGGGTAGAAATTCTATAATCTACCATATGCTTTCTCTCTCTCCCTTACTTAGGATACTGTTTGGTTATCACCAACAAACTTATAACATTTCAATCTACCTTGGAAGCTTTAGGATAATTAAATTTTAAAAAAGTGTAAAAAGATTAAACCACGCTTGTATCCATTAGAGCAAGTTAAGGAATTTGTTGCTTGTTGGTTGGAACTAGAAGGTCCACATGGCAGGAGGTTTAAACAAGTTGGAAGTTCTATTACTTTTTCTTTCAGGGAGAAAAGGAACTTGGAAAGTCTATTTTACAGAATTAATTACAGATCAACACACAGTTCTGTTTGGATAAATTGGATACTGTGTCCTGGAGTTTAGACAGGGAAAAGTGATCCCAATGTTTTACTTTCAGGTTTGAGATGTAAAACAAGCATTTGGACCAAAACATTCACCACTGCAATTACTTTTTGTTTTCTATTTTGAGCCATGGCATCTTCATGTAGTCCAACTAAAAGTCAACAGTTTAGCCTTTACAGAGTCCTCGTAAAATACTGCCTTTTAGTGCTTGGAGTTTGTGAATTGTCTCCCTTTTCTCTTTCAGGAGTTGTTCCCCAAGATTTCATCAAGATTGATGTCTTTCATCCAGTCATCATTACCAGGCTCTGTCTTCAATAAAGAATCAATGAAATCAGCATCACTGTTTAGGGCAGGGCCCATGCTATCGGTCTGTTGGCTGAGGAAGTCAAAAGCTAAGTCACTGCCATGGTCAGTTCCTTGAAAGGCCCTGGAACTTGGGTTGGGTGAAGGAAAATTGCTGGGTGTAAGGGTTGGTGGCTGGCTTATGCCTGTTCTCGACTGATTCAACCCTGTTCCCGACTGGTTCATATTAGGCAAGATCTGTGTGTTTAGTTGATTGGGTCTGAGATTCAGACCTCTGAGTGGACCCATGGTTTGTCCATTTAATGTTTGGCTCATTTGGTTCATGGGTCTCATTTGCACTGCTGGTGTTAACTGGTTAGGAGGAGCCACTGGCCTCTGGGAAAATTGCTGGCTACCTACTACTGCCTGTTGCAATGACTGGTTTGGAGTAAAGGCTGCAGGTGTACCTGTTGGGAAGCGGACTCCTGTGGACTTCAAGGCTTCCTGCTGTTTGGTTGTTGCTTCTTGAGAGGCCCAGTTTGGTGCTGTTGTGTTGGATGTGATCATTACATTTGATGTTCTCTGTGCTGGCATGCTTGTTATACTATGGGTTAAGTTTGGTCTTAATTGTTGGGAATTGCCAACAGATGCAGCTCCAAAAGTGGCCACATTATTATTATTTGGCCCTAAGGTAGGCGGCCGTGGCATCAGAGGGTTGTTCTGATTTGCTATCAGTTGGCTTGGGTTTCTCTGTTGGGTCAATTGATTCATTCCTGAAGTGACATTGTATGTCCCAGGCTGGTTACAAGGTAGATTTCCATACATTCCTATATTCTGAATTGATGTGGATAACAATGGCATTCTTGTCCCATGGGAAGTAGACAGGAGGCTGGAATTTGGAGTTAAAATGCTGTGTGTTGAAACTGGGTTTGCCAAAGCCTGGTTAGAGTTTAAACTCACTGTTGTTGAGCCTCCTAAAAGAAAGGAAGAGAATTGTATTAGTTTGTAACAGTAGGTTATGTCCTCTTTTATAGAGATTTGCAATAACTTTTCAACTCTGAAATTACCTGCAGGTGTGAAAGCAAATAAGGAGAAATAATAATCACAACATATTATATAAAAGGAATAAGACAATGTTGTTACTGCTTTTGGAGGAAGTATCACCATAGGTCACCCCTTAGTCAAGAGTTTACACATTAAGAAGACTAAAATAGAATGATTCTATTTAATGAGTTTTATTTTCTTCCTCTTCTGGAGTCATCAAGGGGAGGTGACAGTCAATCTTTCATTTTGAATTGGTTTTACTTTGTCCCAAGATCAAAGACTACATCTTTGATCAGCTGGCTGTCATACAATCCTTGTAATTGATTGCACCAGGGTCCAAATAAGAAAGTGTGGATGAATAATACATGGCTACTAGAGCAATATTCCTAACCCATGGCCTTGAAAATCATGCCCATTCTTCATCTGCATCATCCCCATTCAAGAAGCTTCCATGAGTGCCCAAAGAGTAAATTCTGTATCTTTAGTCTGGAATTCAATGTAATCCATGCTCTAGTGACTATTTCCATATAGAAAATTCTCTGCTCCAGGAGGTGTGGTCATTATTGCATTGTTATCTAACATACTATGGCCACTTTTGCTCATGCCATTTCTCTCTCTATGATGCCCTTTTTACCTTACTGAGTCTGTTATGTCTTCAAGACTCATTAAGGCCCAGGGTCCTACATTAAACATCACCTTATATTCCAGTCTCTGCTCTTCAGCAGCATTTGCTCTTTGAAGCTTTCGATTAGCACTTGGCTTTTGTACTGGGTAATCCATGTAGCCTCCAAGTGACTGCCAATTATTCTGATGCCTGTCAACTCATTGAATGTGGGGCTAGTGCCTGAGCCACAGGCTGCTGAATAGGGAGACTCTACATATCAGATAATGATTAATCAGCCCATTGAAATCTTTCTGACTTTAGGAGGTTAAAGTTAGTGAGGAAAAACATCTTGAGAGGCAAAAATGGAGTGCCAGAGAGAGAGAGAAAATGCCCAATAGATGAAGCAGGAATTTGTGCCTGTTTTGTTCACTATCATCTTCCCAGAGTCTAGAAAGTACATGGCACAAAGTAGCTATTCAATTGATATTTACTGAATGAGAGATTGAAGCAAAGATAAAACTTGGAGAAAGATACTTCTTTAAAATACTCTCCCTTCAGAGTGGCAGAGAGGCCCAAAGAATCAGAGATCCTGAGAGACAGAGAACTAGACACACACATGAGTACCAGAATGGCAGTGTAGGAAGAGAATATGGCTGTAATCATCACCTCAGGCTATCCCTGGTTGCTTGAGGATACTGAGCACGGTATACAACCTGAAAGACTGAAGGCCAAATGAATATATTAGCTGTGCTATTTATAGGTCTCCAGCTAGACTACTTGCCTCTTGAAGGCAGGAGCAATCTCTTGTATCACCTTGTATTTCCAGGCTTAGCACAGGGCTCTCCACCATGCAGTGGTCAGTAAGTGATGCAGAGGGATCAAAGCAAGGTAGGAGATAATTGAACATTAACTGAGGGTGTATACACTACCACTAAGGTTAAGCAACATCATCTCTGTATTTGAACATTTCATGAGATGGGAATTTACATTATGAAATTCTGGTGGAAAAAAATGTAAGCGTTTTAAAAATCATTCTCTCTAGGTGTCCTGTATTTTAACAATATGCCCTAAGAAGGTTTATGAGGAGAAGTTTTAAACAACCAGAATAGAGAGAATTTCCATAGAGATCACAAAATAATAATCACAGTTACCATTTAGAAGCTCCTAACCCTTTGAACTTAAAAGCCAGAGTCATCTTTCAGCCAAATAATAGACTGGTTTATAAAATAAATAATATCACTGGTGAGTACTGTACTGTGCTCCCATATGTAATCAACTGTATGAGAGCAAACAGTCAACATTTACCCTAAAGCAAAGATGAGAAGGTAAGGATGTGCAAGGAAACTAGATTAATGGGAACAACAAACAGAATGGAAATAATGAGACTCCTGACAATTATGAAAAATGTAAACAATGTCACAGAACAATTTGTATAAAAGTTGTTAAATAAGAACCTAATTTGCTGCTTAAACTTTCACCTAAACACAATACAATATTATTTAAAACAAAAAAAGCAGCTTCTAATATGTGGTAGAATTCCAGGTGCTTTTCACACATTATTTCAAATATTAACATCTGAGCAAGGCGATTATTATTACACCAAGATTAAGATGAAAAAAAATGATAAAAGAGTTTGTGTTGTTTGTTACTTTGTTTTCTCAAAAGACATGGGAAATAAAATGCTCTAGAGCAGTGATTCTTACCCATTTGTGGGTCAGCAGTTGGATGCTACCAAGCCCTCCTTTAGGATAAAGCCCTTTATGCACTGTGGTAGAGACTGCTCACTACCTACCCCAAATCCATCCTCCCTGTCTTCCTTAGAAACAGAGACTTGATTTTGTAGCAATGTGCCTAGCTGGAAAAAATTTTTTTCCCAAACTTCCTTGCTGGTGGGGAGATGTCTTAGTTATCTAGTGCTGCTATAACAGAAATACCAGAAGTGGATGTCTTCAATAAACGGAAATTTATTCTCTCACATTTTAGGAGCTAGAAGTCCTAATTCAGGGCGCCAGCTCTAGGGGAAGGCTTTCTCTCTCTGTTGGCTCTGGGGGGAGGTCCTTGTCATCAATCTTCCGCTAGTCTGGGAGCTTCTCAGTGCAGGGACCCCAAGTCCAAAGGATGTGCTCTGCTCTTGGCGCTTCTTTCTTGGTGGTAAGAGGTCCCTCTCCTCTCTGCTAGATTCTGTCTTTTATATCTCAAAAGAGATTGACTCAAGATACAACCTAATCTTGTAGACTGAGTCCTGCCTCATTAACATAACTGCCTCTAATCCTGCCTCATTAACATCATAGAAGTAGGATTTACAGCACATAGGAAAATTACATCAGATGACAAAGTGGTGAACAATCACACAATACTGGGAATCATGGCTTAGCCAAATTGATACATATTTTTTGGGGGCATAATTCAATCCAAAACAGAAGCCATATAAATAAATTCTGCCTAAAGGTATATGGTTGTAGTCTTTGACCTTCATCAGTAATCTTCATCACTTTAATGAGAACTACAGCCTTCAGTATGGCTTACACCTCAGCATAAAGAAAACAAAAATCCTCACAAGTGGACCAATTAGCAACATCATGATTAACAGAGAAAAGATTGAAGTTGTCAAGGACTTCATTTTACTTGGATTCACAATCAACACCCATGGAAGCAGAAGTCAAGAATTCAAACAACGTATTGCATTGGGCAAATCTGCTGAAAAAGACCTCTTTAAAGTGTTAAAAAGCAAAGTTGTCACTTTGAAGACTAAGGTACACCTGACCCAAGCCATGATATTTTCAACTGCCTCATATGCATGCAAAAGCTGGACAATGAATAAGGAAGACCAAAGACAAATTGATGCCTTTGAATATGGTGTTGGTGAAGAATATTGAATATACCATGGACTGCCAGAAGAATGAGCACATCTGTCTTGGAAGAAGTACATCCAGAATGCTCCTTAGAGACAAGGATAGTGAGATACTGTCTCATGTACTTTGAGCATGTTATGAGGTGGGACCAGTCCTTGGAGAAGGATGCTTGGTAAAGCATAGGGTCAGCGAAAAAGAGGAAGACCCTCAATGAGAGGGACTGGCACAGTGGCTGCAACAATGGGCTCAAACATAGCAACAATTGTGAGAATGACACAGGACTGGGCAGTGTTTCATTCTATTGTACATGGGGTCACTATGAGTCGGAACCGACTCAATGGCACCTAACAACAACAATGGTATATAGATTTAAGTTGTTAGGTGGACATCCAAAAAAACTGTTTTAAAAAGGAAGTCTGATTCATCTGTGAGACTGTTTCACCTTTTACCTTCTTTCTTTATCCAACCTGGAAATGGATGTGAAGACTGACAATGTAGTGACCATAAGCCAATCCTTAGGATGGAAGCCATATGTTAAGGATGGTGCAGAAAGGCACAAGAAGGCTGTATCTCTGATAGCATTGTAGAGCCACCAAATCAGCCCTAGACTCTTATCCCTGGGATTCTTTTATATGAGCGGAAAAAGAAAACTCCAAATACCCGCCTTGAATTTTGCATAGTATTTTAGAGGGTGCCCAGTTTCCTCAAACACCACTCATAGCCCATAATATAAGAAACCATGTTCAAAATAAACCCTGTCTTGTCTTTCAGTCTCTTTGAGGACAGGATCAAACAGATAACTCCATTGTTACCCTTATGTTGAGCTAAATAATTTTAGCGAGTAGAATACGTATATCACATTTCTAATTTTCGTGGAAAGAGACCATCTGGTGCATTTATTTGAGGGGTTAAATAAGTTAGAACAATATGTTAAAGCTATGCTTAACAGGACCAGAATATATTAACAAGTAGGAATATTCACATCCTCTCCTCTAAAGAGAATCTTTATGGCCTCCTGGTCAGAAAAAGGTAACAAGTAAAACGGAATTTGGGAAACCCAAAAGAATAAGCTACATTTACATGGAAAATGCCTAGACAGTTCTGGGCAGAAATTTTAATAGATTCTGAATAGGAGAAGGCAGGAGTAGCAGATGTTAGGTTTGAGAGGGGTTCTTTTGGAGTTTAGAGAGAGTAAGGACAGAGACTTGAGGGGGAGCACTTATTTTACACATTAAAGAAGTTTTGCTATGTATTTTAAATGGAATCTACCTTGGGTGTTTTTGACAGGCTTCATAAAGACTTAATTTGATTTTCAAGGGGACACCTTAGGAGATGGACCGAAAGGCAGAAACAAACAAACAAAACTGGACTTTATGTTAGTTAAAAATGTGACTCAGGGGCAAATGTTTGCTTACCTTATACAACTTGATCCAAGACATGTTGTTGGGAGAAGAATGGCTGGACCTACCAGTTATAAATGATTTAGCTTTTTTGAATTCTCATAGGTGGGTTGGAGAGCAGTGAAACATAGGAATATGGGGCAATAATAAGTAAGAAGAACTGATACGAGGACTAAAAAACATTCAAGCCTGGTCTTTATCTTCAAGTAAAATGCGAGTTAGTGAAAGATTCTAAGAAAGATGTTACAATCAATCAAACATGAGATGGAGAACGGAGGAAATACTAACATTGAACAGTTTTCTTATTTTCACAGTTATGATTTTCATTTTTAAGAACACTTACCAGAATACTGAGCAGTTGGCTGCATAGTGCCCACATTTCTTCTTTGGTCTTTATAATCTGGGGGTGGCCTTGTCAAATGTCTGTTTATCTGATCTTGTGGAGCAATTTTCTCCTTGAAAACAGAAATGAAAATATAATAAATTCTAGATTGTTACTTTCTCACTTGTAAAAATTAATGGACTGTTATTCAAGAAAGTAAGAATATAGGAAAAATCATGGTTTGCAAATCATGGACCTTATTTAGCAGTCTCAATTCAGAGACAAATTTTTTCAATTTCAATAAACTTCATACATGGAAGTGTAATTTCCACTTCTCCTTAACATTCGACATGTCTTTTGGTTCTACTAACTATTCTTATTTCCTTTCACAAGTATATTTTAATGAGAACTAAATTTCTGTGATTTTTTGGGAACATTTTATGTGTTTTAGGTGAAAGTTTACACAGCAAATTAGTTTTCTGTTTAACAATTCATATACAAATTTTTCCATTACATTGGTTGCAATCCCTGCAATATGTCAGCAGTCTCCCCATTTCCACCCTGGGTTCCCCATTTCCATTTGTCCCATTTCCCTGCCCCTCCGTGCCTTCTTGTCTTTGCTTTTAGGGCAAATGCTGCCCTTTTGGTCTCATACAGTTGCTAGTTCTTAGGCACACATTCCTCATGGGTGTTATTGTAAATTTCATAGGCCAGTCTATTATTTGGCGGAAAGATGACCTTCGGTAGTGGCTGCAGATCTGAGCTGGAAGGGTGTCCTATGGCAATAGTCTTGGGAGTTCCTCCAGTCTCTATCAGACCAGTACATCTGGTCTTTTTTTATGAATTTGATTTTTGTGTTGCATTTTTCTCCTTTTCTAACCAGGACCTTCTATTGAGTTCCTGGTCAGAGTGGTCGGTAGTGGTAGTTGGGCACCATCTAGTTCTTCTGGTCTCAGGCTAGAGGAGGCTGTGGTTCGTGTGGGCCATTAGTCCTGTGGGCTAATTGCTTCCTTGAATCTTTGATTTTCTTTACTCTCCTTTGCTGCAGCTGGGAAGAGACCAGTAGTTGCATCTTAGATGGCCACTCACAAGCTTTTAAGACCCCAGACATTACTCACTAATCTAGGATGTAGAACATTATCTTTATGAACTATGTTATGCCAATTGACGTAGATGTCCCCTGACACTATGGTCCTTAGCCTTCAAGTCCAGTAACTCAGTCCTGCAAGGTGTTTGGTTAAGTCTAAGAAGCTTCCATAACTGTGCCCCCTACGTGCTCTGTTATATATATGAATAGGAATACACACAAAAATGTATGTAGAAATATCCACAAGTATACATACATACATATGGAGCCCTGGTGGTGCACTGGTTAAGAACTTGGCTGCTAACCAAAAGGTCGGCAGTTGAAATCTACCAGCCACTCCTTGGAAACCCTAGAGGGCAGTTCTACTCTGTCCTATAGGGTCACTATGAGTCAGAAGCCACTCTACGGTAACGGGTTTGTTTGTTTTTTTTAAATATGTATGTATGCACATAAGTATACTTCCATACTACCTCCTGCATCTATTTAGCATACATATCAATCTAGGTATTCACTCACAAACTATTGTTTGTTATTACTGTTGCTGTAAGATTGTATATGTTATAGTATTTACTGTAGTAGTCCTTTATTCTTGCATACTTCCCAGTGTCTTCCTTTGCCTTGGTCACTTTGTGCTGACTTCCCCTACATTGTGTATTGCTTTTCCCTACACCAGAATTAACAAGTGTCTACTATTATTTAGTTAGTGATTCTCCCTCCCTCTCTCCCCCTCCTATCCCTGGTAACCATCAAATAATGTTTCTTTCTGTGTGTAAATGTATTCTTAACTTTTTATAATGGTGGCCTCACACAGTATTTGTCCTTTTGTGATTGACTTATTTCACTCAGTATAATGTCCTCCAGATTCATCAGTGTTGTGAGATGTTTCACGGACTCATCATTATTTTTTATCATTGCATAGTATTCTATTGTATTCATGTACAATAATTTGTTTATCCATTCACCTGTTGATGGACGCTTAGGTTATTTCCATCTCTTTGCTATTGTGAATAATGCTGCATTGAACATGGGTATGCATATGTCTATTCGTGTCACAGCTCTTACTTCTCTAGGATATATTCCTAGGAGTGGGACTGATGGATCATATGACATTTCTATTTCTAGCTTTTTAAGGAAGTGCCAGATAGATTTCCAAAGTGGTTTTACCATTTAACATTCCCACCAGCAATGTGTAAGTGTTCCAGTGTCTCCATAACCTCTCCAATATTTATTATTTTGTGTTTTTTGGATTAATGATAGCCTTTTTGGGGTGAGATGGTATCTCATTGTAGTTTTGATTTGCATTCCTCTCATGGCTAATGATCAAGGGCATCACTTCATGTGTTTGTTATCCTCCTGAGTGTCTTCTTTGGTCAAGTGTATGTTCATGTCTTTTCCCATTTTCTAATTGGGTTGTTTGCCTACTTGTTGTTGAGGTGTTGAGTTTTTTAAATAAATTTTAGCGATTAAACCCTTGTCAGATATGTCATTGCCATTTTTTTTCCCCAGTCTGTAGGTTCCCTTTTCACTCTTCTGGTGAAGTCTTTTGATGAGTGTAAGTATTTAATGTTTAGGAGGTCCCAGTTATCTAGTTTACCTTCTGCTGTCTGTGCATTATTAGTTATGTTTGATAATCTATTTATACCATAAATTAGGGTCTCTAGCTTTGTCCCTATGTTTTTGTCCATGAGCTTTACAGTTTTATGTTTAACATTAGGTCTTTGATCCATTTTGAGTTAGTTTTTATGTACGGTGTGATGTATGGATCCCGTTTCATTTTTCTGCAAATGGATATCCAGTTTTGCCAGCACCATTTGTTAAAGAGACTATCTCTTCCCCATTTATCAGACTTTGACCTTTTGTTGAAGATCAGCTGTCCATAGCTGGATGGATTTACTTTTTGGGTTCTCAGTTCTGTTCCATCATTCTATGTGTCTGTCATTGTACCAGTACCAGGCTGTTTGACTATCATGGCTGTGAAGTAGGTTCTGAGATGGGAAAGTGTGAGGCCTCCTACTTTGTTCTTCAATAATGCTTTAGCTATCTGAGGCCTCTTTCCTTTCTATATAAAGATGGAAATGAGTTTTTTCATTTCGTTAAAGAGTGCTGTTGGAATTTAGATCAAGATTGCATTGTATCTATAGATTGCTTTGGGCAGTATTGACATTTTCATAACGTTAAGTCTTCCTATTCATGAGCATGGTATGATTTTCCATTTATGTAGGTCTCTTTTGGTTTCTTGCAGTAGCGTTTTGTAGTTTTCTTTGTATAATCTTTTATTTGGGTGCTATTGTAAATGGTACTGTTTTCCTGACTTCCTTTTCGGAATTTTCTTTGTTAGTGTAGAGTAATCCAGTTGATTTTTGTATGTTGATCTTGTACTCTGCCACGTTGCTGAACCCTTCTATTAGTTCCAGTAACTTTCCTGTGGAGTCTCTAGGATTTTCTTATGTATAGGATCATGTCATCTGTGAATAGGGAGAGTTTACTTCTTCCTCAATAATTTGGATGCCCTTTATTTCCCTTTCTTGCCTTGTTGCTGATTTTTGAGATGATATTTCTAGTTTTGCATTATAGTTCACCTTATATGCTTTGGTAAAAATCAGTTGTTGTAGTGTCAACTCTGACTCATGGCAACTCCGTGTGTGTTAGAGTAGAACTGTGCTCCATAGGGTTTTCAATGGGTGATTTTTCAGACATAGATCACCAGGTCTTTCTTTGAGGTGTCTGTGGTTGGACTTGAACCACCAACCTTTCAGTTAGCAGCCAAGTGCTTAATTATTTGCTCACCCAGGACTTTGGTACTTATATATAATTCAGGTCCCAAGGAGTGTGGAAGGCATAGGATTAGGATGATCAGATAAAATAACGACATCTGGGAATCATGTATTTTTATTTGCCAAATCCGGCAATCCTACATGGGAGGAGATATTAGGAGATAACCTATTAGGCATTGACCTAGAAACTATTTGCATACTACTTCATTTTTTCCCCTCATAAATAACCCTCAAAGGTGGATATTATTATTCCTACTTAGTAGATGAGGAAAATGGAAGCTTAGTTGGGTTAAGTAACTTGCCCAGGATCACACAGTGGTAGAACAGAGACCAAATCTCACATCTGTCTGAGTCACAAACTCAGGCTCTTTCCTGCCACACAATACAAGTGTCCCTTGCTACTTTACTTCTCAGTGCCCCATTCTGAAAGCATAAAAATTTCCCAGGCTCCTTTCTTTTTTTCCTTTTTGAGTAAGCCACCTTTAGATTTTCAGAATTTTTAAGTTTTGGAACTAAGAGAGGAAGTAAGGGGCTATTTTTTAAAAAAAATATTGTCAATGCCCTCATCTAAAAACCACTGAGAACACCCTTGTTGAGGTTATTATTCGTCGCAGTGAAGGAGAACACGCGTCATAGGAGACCGTGGGTGTCTCATTAGGAGGGTGTTAGAAAAAACTTATTATAGCATTTGGGGCTTTGATTGGGTGATTCTGGGAGGGTCTAAGAGGGGGTTTGTTCTAGTTTTGAAACTGTCAGAAAGTGAAGTCAACTCCGTGATTGGGCAATGAAGTAGCAGTCACTCATTTAGCAAGAGGGGGAATGTTTGGTACTTATTTTGTGGGTTGTAAAGTGACCTTGTTTGTGTCTGTTCTTAGACAAAATTATGACGTCGCCTTATTTTGTCTCATTTTATCCTAGTCTCAGAGTAACCCTGCCTGAGATTGGTAACCCATAACGTTTGTGTGTGTGTCTAACAGCGAACGAAAGAGCCTGGCTGTGAGTATCTGATCAGTTCTGGACATTAGGGGCTGCTTTTATTTCCTTTCTCAGTATGGATCAGGCAGTTTTTAGAACTGCTTTACTGCAACTTTGCATGCACCCCAAAGCAACTTCCGTTTTCAAATATTAAAATAATTGGCATAGGTGGACAGAGAACAGTACAATTATAGGAAGACCACTAAACAGAAAACAAAACTTTGTAATGGGTAGATGAATACATTAGATGGATGCCAAATGTGGGTTGCCTAATTTAGAACCCATTTAAACCATGTATTTCTCATTTTCCTACCAAATTCCAAACCTTCTGAGTGGAATTAGTCTACTAGAAAGGGGAAAAAAGGCCTTAAAACAATAACAAACTAAATTCAAATTCTTGTTTCTAAGGAAGAAAAAAACAACAACAAACTCTTGAAAGACTCACAGAGTATTTTTGACATCAAATAATTCATATAAAACACAATTTTGATGAGCTAAGTGTAAATGAATCAGAAACATATGGATTACATTTCTTTTAAACATGGGTTTACAAATTAAGGGAAAAAGTGGTTGAGAAAACTCTTTTTTGGTTTTACCCAAACCCTAAATGTTTAAGAAACAGCTTGAGATGTTCCACTAAGCCAAATGTGGCAATGGTCAACCATTCCTGTTATAAACTACTGTGCAGGCCTGACAGTTCTGATTTTCATGTCAAGTATAGGGCTTTCTGAAACCTTCTCTTATCCAAAATCATCTATTTATTATTCTTTCTTATGTAATTAGGTATTTCTGCTCTTTATATTGAGGAAAACAGGATTTGTGTGTGTGTGTGTGTGTGAGTGTGAGTGTGTGTGTGTGTATGTGTGACAATTAAGTCCTTGGTTTCCTATCATAGACTAGATTTCAAACCTGGACTTATTTTTGTGTATACTCAATCTAATTGTTGGCGTGATATTTCTCTCCCAAGGACTAAGTTATTCAAAGAGTTAACATATACATTTCTGGAAACTTGAGTTTCTTAGACTACTTGTTCATAATGATTAGATTTAATGACCATGCATATGGACATAGAACTGCCATGTTGTCACTTGGTCCTGAAGAGTCCATCCAATACTCAATAGAGACAGCTACATTTTGCAAGAGAATAACATTACCATTCTACCCAAGTGTAAACTCACAGACCATTTCTGCAATTACTTCTCTGCAACATGTAGTTTATCAATTAATGCTTCATGATAACCCAATCTTTTGGACCTGGAAACCTAATAGAGAAATACTCTACTATGCTCACATCTGCCCTGTTGTATGTGGATAATTTAGGACCTCCCTTATAGTCCTATTGTAAAGATTAATCCTTTTTTCCTGTAAAAACTCAGCAGGGTGCCTGGCACATAGTAGATACAGAGTGCACATTGGTAATTACGATGCCCATTGTAATTAAGTACTACTCATCTCTACCCTGTGCCTTTCATTGGTGGGAGAATAATAGAGAGGAAGGATAACACACTTTCACGAGAAAATGTCTCAACTTAGGCTCCTATCTGGCCTTGCCAACTGACTGCAAAAGACCGCAAAGCGTATGTTAATGTAAAGTGGTTATCAAAGACTGTTTCTTCCTGGCTATGCTAAAAAGTACAGGCACCCTCAATGGTGTCCTAACAAAGAGAAATGTGAATGGTTTATAAAAATCACTGAAATGGCAGCCTCATTCTTATTCATCTCTACAGCCTATGCCACTGCCCTTTGCACCTGTCCCAGTGGTGACTCAACTGGGGCTCAGTGGGAGACAGGCCAGTGCCAGGCCAGGACCCTCATAGCATGTGTCTGCTACCATTTCTAGCCTTTTAATTTCAGAGCTGAAAGTACAGAAATTCAACCTCTGCATGTTATCAAAGTACTAATATTGACGGGAATAATGAAAGTGTATCCTGTAAGTCAATCTTAAATTATATGTTTTTCTCTTCTGCTACCCTACTTTCTAAGCTATTTGGTTTATAAGGCTCAAAAAAGGGTGGAGGGTAGAGGACTGGAGTTTTAAAAACTATGTAGAACAAACCAGCTGTCTCACTTGGCAATGCAGTCAGCGGCTCCCCTACATTTTACACTTCAAAGTGTACTCAAGGTCATACGTAAACTTATTTCTCCCTATTCTTTCTCACATGCTCTGGATTCCAAACTTATTTCATTTTGTCATTCCTTAAAAAACATATGTAATTGCTAAATTATTATTAATACTTTATGCATTAAATATTTCATAATACAGTCTCAAACTAACCAACACATACTCCTAGGCTGTACCGTTTTTCTTCTGGCCCACTCTCCACTTGGAATGGTGGACCTACCTACTCTACCCATCAGAATCCTACATCCCTTCAAAGTCAAAGTCAAATTTTACCCACAGTTACTGACGGAGTGGGAGAAAAGTGTGGAGCAGAACTCAAATTCACGTAAAAAGGCCAGACTTAATGGTCTGACTGAGATTGGAGGAGCCCCAGAGTCTGTGGTCCCCAGATGCTCTGTTAACCCAGAACTAAAACCATTCTTGAAGCCTACTCTTCAGACAAAGACTAGACTGGATATAAAACATAAAATAATACTCATTAAGAGTATGCTTCTTAGTTCAAGCAGATACACGAGACCAAACGGGCAGCTCCTGTCCGGAGGCAGGATGAGAAGACAGAAAGGGACAGGAACTGATTGAATGGACACAATAAACCCAGGGTGGAAAGGGGGAGTGTGCTGTCATATTATAGGGATTGCAACTAATGTCACATAACGATATGTGCATAAATTTTTGTATGAGAAATTAACTTGAACTGTAAACTTTCACCTAAAGCGCACACACACACACACACACACACACAAAGTCAAATTTTACCTCTTCTGAGAGAGTATCCTCAATCTCTCTAGGCTGGATTTAATCTTCCCCTCAATTACATTTTCCCTTACTCCGTTTATGCCTTCATTGTAATGCAAATCTGAACCTAGCATTCCTCGTTAAAATCCTTAACATTCTTCCTATTACTTTTCAGACAATGTAAACGCTGGTTTATCAAGCCCTATCTTCTGGCCTCTCATTTCTGGCCTTCTTGCCCATCACCTCCTTACCCCTCTGCACATTCTATGCCTTGGCAAATGCAATATCCTCTGTTGTTTTTGGGTCTTTGAATATGCTGGGTCTTCTGGCTGGAACAATCCTCCACTTTTCCCTCATCTCCCACTTCACCTTCAGATCTTCAGTAGACATAACTTCCCCTCGGAAACCATTTCTGACAAACTCGCTCTACTCCCTCTGGTTCTCCCACCTCTCCCAGACTGGATTAGGTGCCTATCTTAAGTGCTCTATGGATATCTAGTAGCTCCCACACCACAGTATTCAATCACATGCGTTACAATTGTCTGTTTAACAGGAGTCCCTGCGTGGTGCAAATGGTTATGCCTCTACTACTAGCTGAAAGGGTGGCCGTTCGAATCCACCCAGAGGCACCTCAGAAGACTGGCTTGGCGATCTGCTTCTGAAAGGTCACAGCGTTGAAAACCCTATGGAGCAGTTCTACTGTGCACATATGGGGTCGCCATGAATTGGAATCAACTCAACAGCGACTAACAAACAACTACATTCGTCTGACATCCTCAGTGAGGTTGACATCCTCAGCACATTAAGAGCAAAGACTGGGTCTTTCTTGTTCATGACTGCATCCTCATTGTAAATTAATACATATTTATTAAGTGAATTATAGCACTTATCGCACCCTGTATGTCTGATTCTTTTACTATAAAGCTCCTTGAGTATAAAATTATTTGATTTTGTTTTCCTGTCTTCTGTGTACCTTGGCTTTGTTAACCTAGAGACAGTTAACTGTCCTTTTCTTTTTTTCTTTGGCCAGATAGCTCAAAGGGAAAGAATGAAGTTATTGGAGACGGGGCCGTGGTCGTCTAGGAGGCAGCATGTGTTTGGATCAGTTGTTAAGCATATGAGTACGTCTGAGAATGACAAAACACGAGCAGATAAATACTGAAGCAGGGTTAATGCTTGGGTAGTGTGTGGGGAATACTACCTTGCCTTTCTTCAAGTCTGCTTAAATGTGAAAATGGGAAATATATTTTCAATTTTCTTTTAAAAAAATCCTCCATTCTAAGATGCTTTACCTTGAAAGCCAAATCTTAGTTTTGAAACTCTGCGTTGGCTTTAAAACTGTCTTTAAAGCTTTTATTTCTAAAATCAGTTTGGATTTGAGTTGATTAACGTTCTGTCCACTGTTTCTGTGCTTTAGGGCTGGGGAACAATACTGGTTTCTTTCGCCTGATTCACATTCCCGTGGTGTTGGTGGTTCTAGGCATTCTTGAGCTGGGCAGGGCTAGTTAGCTGAGGTGCTGCACATTCCAACCACTCAGCAGCCAGTAAATCAAGTTTTTTTCTGCAGCACGTTACATGTATGGTATTAGCTTCTCTTACATCTGGGACACCCTTATTGCTGCCACATAAGTAGGCACGGGGAAAGGGCAGTAAATATAAATAGAAAAGAATGAAGTCCCTATGTTAGGCCAACAGGTATGTGCAGTGGATATCAGGAGAAAGTTTTACCGCATCAACCAGCATCTGCTGCTGGAGAAGAAGTTGCTGTTTCTGCTCCATGATCTGCCTCTGTAGAGTCTGTTTCTTTCCCATCAATTGCTGATTCAACAGTGATTGCTGGGAGTTCATGTAACCACTTCCAGTGTTTGGATTTGAGCAGGAGTTGGGACTTGGACTGGGGCCTGTGTTCTGGCCTACCACAGAGTGTTGATCCTAAAGAAGAGAAAGGGGGAGAAAAGCTACTGTAAATTAAAAGAAGAAAAATGCAGCAAAAAGATCACAAGATTGGATTCCAAACATTTTTCATCTTGTTAAAAATCAAACCTGGTTAACAAGGTGGAGCTCAGGGAGCTGCTTTTCATTTATTTATTTTTCATTTTTTCCCATACAAAAATTTATACATACATTGTTATGTGACTCTAATTGCTCTCCTCATACTCTGACAGCACACTCCTCCCTTCCACCCCTGATTCCCCATGTCCATTCAACCAGCTCCTAACCCTCTCTGCCTTCCCATCTCACCTCTGGACAGAAGCTGCCCGTTTAGTCTCTTGTTATCTACTTGAGCAAAGAGCATACTCCTCACGAGTATCACTTTATGTCCCACAGTCCAGGCCAATTCCTGTCTGAAGAGTTGGCCTCGGAAATCATTTTAGTTCTGGGCTGATAGAGAATCTGGGGGCCATCCTTTCTGGGGTTCCTCCAGTCTCAGACCATCAAGTCTGATCTTCTTACTAGAATTTAAGTTCTGCACCCCACCTTTCTCCTGCTTCATCAGGGACTCTCTGTTGTGTTCCCTGTCAGGGCGGTCATTGGTGGTAGCCAGGCACCATCTAGTTCTTCTGGTCTCAGGCTGATGAAGTCTC